TTCCTTCTTTTTTTACAGCAGCATAGTATTCCATCGTGTAGATGTACCACCGTTTTCTAATCCATTCATCTACTGATGGGCACTTAGGCTGTTTCCAGATCTTAGCTATGGTGAATTGTGCTGCTATGAACATATGGGTGCACATATCCTTTCTGATTGGTGTTTCTGGTTTCTTGGGATATATTCCTAGAAGTGGGATCACTGGGTCAAATGGGAGTTCCATTTCCAGTTTTTTGAGGAAACTCCATACTGTCTTCCATAGTGGCTGCACCAGTCTGCATTCCCACCAGCAGTGCACAAGTGTTCCTTTTTCTCCACATCCTCTCCAGCACTTGTCGTTTGTTGATTTGTTGATGATAGCCATTCTGACAGGTGTGAGATGGTACCTCATTGTTGTTTTGATTTGCATCTCTCGGATAATTAGTGACTTTGAGCATGTTTTCATATGTCTCTTGGCTTTCTGAATGTCCTCTTTTGAAAGGTGTCTATTTAGATCCTTTGCCCATTTTTTAATTGGATTGTTTATCTTCTTTTTGTTAAGTTGTATGAGTTCCCTATAAATTTTGGAGATTAGGCCCTTATCAGATATGACGTTGGCAAATATGTTTTCCCATGCAGTGGGTTTTCTTGTTGTTTTGTTGATGGTTTCTTTTGCTGTGCAGAAGCTTTTTATTTTGATGTAGTCCCATTTGTTTAGTTTCTCTTTAGTTTCCAATGCCCTAGGAGCTGTATCAGTGAAGAAATTGCTTTGGCATATGTCTGAGATTTTGTTGCCTTTGGATTCCTCTAGTATTTTAAAAAAAAATTGAATTTATTGGGGTGACATTGGCTAATAAATTTATATATGTTTCAGGTGTATAATTCTACATCATTTGTGTATTGTATTGTGTGCTCACCATCCCAAGTAAAGTTTCCTTCCATCACCATTTGGTCCCCTTTTACCCTTTACCCTTTTCTTCCTCCCTCCCCCCCCTCCCCTTCCCTCTGTTTTATGATCTATGGCAGTACTCAGTTGTGTGGATGAAACATACTTTATGAAAAAAGTTCCATATAAATGCATATCTCTGTTCATAATTTTTTATTATTTTTTGAAGTACATTGTCAGAGATAGCATTCAGATCTTTTCTGACATTCTCCTTAAATAAATACCTGAGAATGACATTACTTATCAGGAAGGTTATACTGATTTACATTCCTAAGAACAGTGCATATATAAGCCTATTTCCCCACATCCGCATGAATGTTGGGTTTTGTAAGTCTTTATTATGTTTGCCAATCTGATATGCAGAAAATATCTTTAAAAGAAATTGTTTCTTTTCTTACAAGTGAAATTGAATGATTGTCATTATGTTGTCATTTATACTTTGTGAATTTTTAAAGGATTTCTTACAGTTCTTATATACAGATAATGAGTCATTATACTTGTTGGAAACATTTTTCTCGCTTGAAAGTTGTTTTTTAATGCTTATATTGTCAAAATTTATATTTAAAAAATTTTCCTTACTTTCACTGATTTTTTAGAAAGAGAGGAAGGGAGAGGGAGAGAGAAAGAGAAACATTGATGTGAGAGTGGAACATCAATGATACACTGCCTCCTGCACACCCCCTGCTGGGGATCGAGCCTGCAACATTATTAGTTGCATATCTGTATAGATATATTCTTTTCATTAACAAAGTCACTGCCATATACAAGGTGTCCCCCCAAAAAATATATACACTTTAACAGCTGATAGCTCAAATGATGTTTCTTTTCAGATTTAACCCATTGGAATTAATAATTATTCAAAGTGTGTATACATTTTTTTGATACACCCTATTATTTTTTGATGGGCTAAAAAAGCTCCCACATACTTTATTAATATTTTATTTTACATTCTTTAATTGCTTATGTGTAATTTGGATCTTAAGATTAATAATTAGCACATCAGGATGACTGTTAATAGGGAGTTTCTCTTTTGTGTGTTCATGGCATATCTGATATAGCCCTTGGATTGAATTTAATTTCTCTCTGTGAGTTAGGATTCTGTTGCAGATAACAGTAATTATTGTAGATATTTTTATGTAGAAAGGGACTTAATTCAGAGAGGCACTTAGAAAAGCGCTAGAAGTCTTAGTTTCAGACTAGTAAAATAACAATGCAGAACTGACCTGAGCTGCAATCAGAAAGTTGTAGCTGCTGGAGAAGCTGCTAAAACTATTGGCTCCAGGGCTCAAGTGCCTTTATTAGAGTTGCAGTGACAATACACTCTGTCTCTCAGCACTTAAAAAAGTAGTACCTGGACAGAAAACTGAAGCACTTATTATGTACACGCTTGCCAGCAGAAACAGAAGCTACTAGCCAAAGCCTCTGCCTCATTATACTTTCCCAATTTCATGTGTGGAAATTCAATTGTTGAACTTAAATCACTTTCTGAACCTGAAATGAAAGAGAATTTGGGAAAAGTAGTTTTCTTTTTAGTTAGAAAGCTTCTGCAGGAAAGCATGAGGAAGGTAAGATGGATGTTGAATATCAATCTCCCATATTCACCATAGTCATTATACATAGGAAATGATGAAAATGGGCTTACAATTTTGTGTTTCCTATTCTTAGATTAATTTAAGAAGAATTTGATTCTCCCCCTCACCCCCTTTTCTTTTTAGCACTTGCTAGAGGTAAATTCTTTAAAGCACCTGACAAGACTGACTCTGCAGGATCGCATTACCAAATCCCTTCTTCATTTGCACAAGAAGAAGAAACCTCCCAGCATCAGTGCTCAGTTTCAGGTTAGTTCCTATTTTACTTTTAACAAAGAGGAATCTGTTTCCTTCAGATTGATTGATACTGAAAAGTCAAAATGATTGGCAAGATAACCTGAATGGGATATGGTTGATGTGACTAAAAAGCCACGCTGTAATGGTCATTTGGCTTTTCAGAAATAAACCCATTTCTTTGTATACCACTCATTTTTGCATCTTTTAACAACATTATTGTTTATATTTATAAATTGTTGCCAATGTGGGATGGAAGAAAATTCTCATTATATTATTGTTTTGTATCACAGGCCTCATTAAACAAGCTGATGGAGACACTTGGTCAAGCAGAACCATATTTTGTAAAATGCATTCGCTCTAATGCAGAAAAGGTAAAAATGTCCGTACATGAGAACTCGCTCAGCTTACTTCAAACCAAGCTTTAAATTCTTTCTAAGGAGAGCAAGTGGATAGAAAGAACTATCCTATCTAATAAAAGAGAAACATGGTAATTAGCCGTACATCCGCTACCCTTCCCATTGGCTAATCAGGGAGATATGCAAATTAACTGCCAGCCAAGATGGCGGCTGGCAGCCATGCACTGAAGCGAACAGGGAGGCTTGCTTGCTCCAGTGACGGTGGACTCCAACGTTCCCCGCCTGACTTGCCGGCCTCTCAGCTGCAACTCTAAGCAACTATGTTGCAAATATAGAAGCTAAACAAAACCCCAGAAACCTGCATTAGTCAGCCAGGCTTCAGCCAGCTGGGCTGCAACATTGTATCAAATACAGAAGGTAAACAAAGGCCAGAGCCGAGGCCTCAGAGCTAAAGCTGGCCCAGAATAAAAAAAAAAGAAAAAAAGGAGCGGTTGGGAGCTTCAGTCACCCGCCAGCCTGAAAACGGCCCTCAGCCCCTCAGCCAGGCTGGCCAGGCACCCCAGTGGGGACCCCCACCCTGATCCAGGACACCCTTCAGGGCAAATCAGCCAGCCCCCACCCGTGCACCAGGCCTCTATTCTATATAGTAAAAGGGTAATATGCCTCCCAGCACTGGGATCAGCGGAGCCGCGAGGCCTCCCGGCACCCGGATCAGCGTGACAGGGGGCAGCGCCCAAACCCCCTGATCACCCTGTGGCTCTGTGTGTGACAGGGGGCGGGGCCACAACCTCCCTATCCGCCCTGCTCTGTTCGTGACAGGGGGGAGCTCCTCAACCCCCCTGATCGGCCCTGCTCTGTGCCTGATGGGGGGAGCTCCCCAACCCCCTGATTGCCCTGCGGCTCTGTGTGTGACAGGGTGCAGGGCCACAACTTCCCTATCTGCCCTGCTCTGTTCGTGACAGGGGAAGGCGCCCCAACCCCCTGATCAGCCCTGCTCTGTGCCTGATAGGGGGGAGCTCCCCAACCCCCTGATCGCCCTGCAGCTCTGTGTGTGACAGGGTGCAGTGCCTAACTCCCCAATCGGCCCTGCTCTGAGCCCGACCAGGGGCTGCACCTAGGGATTGGGCCTGCCCTCTGCCACCCGGGAGCAGGCCTAAGCCAGCAGGTCATTATCTCCTGAGAGGTCCCAGACTGCGAGAGGGCACAGGACGGGCTGAGGGACCTCCCCCTCCCCCCCGAGTGCACAAATTTTTGTGCACCGAGCCTCTAGTCTAATCTAATAAAAGAGAAACATGCAAATTGACCATACCTCCACTACACCCACAAGCCACGCCCACCCACCAATCAGGAGCGAGTATGCAAATTAACCCAACTAAGATGGTGGCGGCCATGGAGCTGGAGTGAGCAGGAGGCTTGGGTTGCCCCCGGCAATGGAGGAAGCCAAGCTTCCCTCCTGCCCTACGGGCCCTGAGCTCTGCTCAAGGCTATAAAGTTTCAATTATAGAAGATAAATAAATCCCAGATACCTGCTTCCAGCCTACGGCCGTGGCACACCTGAAAACGGCCCTCAGCCCCTCACCCAAGATGGCCACGCCTCCTTCACTGAAGGGGCTGTGGCCAGCCTGAAAACAGCCATCAGCCTCTCACCCAGGCTGGCCAGGCACCCCAGCGGGAACCTCCACCCTGAAGGGGGTGTGGCCAGCCTGAAAACAGCCTTCAGCCCCTCACCCAGGCTGCCTCCACCCCCATGGGGTGAGGGTCCCCGCTGGAGGGCTTGGCCAGCCTGCAAACAGCCATCAGCCCCTCACCCAGGCTGGCCAGGCACTCCAGCGGGACCCCCACCCTGATCCAGGACACCCTTCAGGGCAAACCAGCCGGCCTCCACCCGTGCACCAGGCCTTTATTCTATATCTATATAATAAAAGGGTAATATGCAAATTGACCTTAACAGCAGAACCACTGGGAATGACTGGTCACTATGACACACACTGACCACCAGGGGGCAGATGCTCAATGCAGGAGCTGCCCCCTGGTGGTTAGTGCGCTCCCACAGGGGGAGCTCTGCTCAGCCACAAGCCAGGCTGACGGCTGCCAGCACAGCGGTGGTGGCGGGAGCCTCTCCCGCCTCCTCAGCAGCGCTAAGGATATCCAACTGGAGCTTAGGCCTGCTCCCTGCTGGCAAGTGAACATCCCCCGAGGGCTCCCGGGCTGCCAGAGGGATGTCTGACTGCCAGCTTAGGTCCGATCCCCCGGGGAGCGGGCCTTAGCCAGCAGGTGGACATTCCCCGAGGGGTCCCAGACTGTGAGAGGGCACAGGCCGGGCTGAGGGACCCCCCAAGTGCACAAATTTTTGTGCACCGGGCCTCTAGTCTATATTTTTTAAGGAAAACAGCATTCTATAGTTTCTATGGATATATTTCTTGTGTTTACACCTACTTGCCTGTAAGGTATTTACATGGTATTGATTTAATATCTACAAGAATTTTGAGAAGCAAATATCTCTTGAAATTCTATAATAAAAGTTTTATGCAACTTTTATTACCCGGAGATTAATCCCTCTTGTTTGGATATACATTGTCACTCTTAAAGAACATGCCAGGCATTTTTCATGTTTAGAGATTCTTATCTTTGTAAAATAGGGAAGATATGGGCATTCTTGATTCCTTTCTATTTTCTATGACAGATCCCCTAATTAGGGATTTGCAAAATATATCTAAAAAGTGTAAACATTTGTCATCTTTCATTATGTTCATCATAGGAAAAAATAGTTCCCAGCCTGAACAGCTAAACTGTGTAGGAATTATGTTCAGCTTTCTTAATTCTTAAGAAGCAGTCTCTAACTTGGTTATATGCAAGCTTTGTGACCTTAGACAAGTTATCCTTTCTGTATTTTAAATATTTTCATCCATGTAAGAATATATTGTATTTGTAGGACCTCATAGTGTTTTGTGAGTATATATGAGTTAATACTGGTAATATACTTAGAGTGTTCCCAGCCCATACTAAGTGGTTAGTAAATGTCACTATTCTTTTATAGTGACTAAAAAAGAAATGATTTTATTTATAGTTAAATAGAAGTTTGAGTCCCTGTTATTAAATGAGACCTTGCTATACAAAGAGTTCAATTAATGAAGTAGTTCAGGGTATAGAATAAGTACTAAATAAATGTCTATTATTATTATTATTATTATTATTATTATTATTATTTAACATAAGTTGCCCATTGACTTTATTTCCTTGACAGCTGGTATGCCCCATCTGTCTGAAGGAAAATGTTTAGGATTGCTTTAGGGAATCATTGAAAATAGTATTTAGAATGAATAGGGAGAAATATCAGAAGCTCCAAATGCATATTGTTTTGAATGTCTGAAAATGTGCCTGCAGAGATACCTAGGAGTTTCAGGGCGTTGTGACTACTAGCTGCTTCCCTATCAATGCCTTTACAATGAAATCAGTTGTCAGGGACTGGAGGAATTTTTTGTTTTTCAATGTGTCATACCAGTATTATCAGCAAAAGTATTTAGGGAAATAAACTACTCTTAACCTTGTACTAGTCATTAGAAGAAGAATCTGTCAGCTCTCGGTTAACCAAGGTAACTGGTAAAGTAGGGCAGGTAGTTTCTGAGTGAGATTATAGATACAATCATAATTAAAAACAAAAATGCAGACACTCTTGACTATATGTAAGTAGGTTAGTTTTGATATGTATTTTATATTGACTCCTGTGGGTAACTACATTCCTTTTGAACTACAGCTAGAAGTTTGGAAACGTGGTTTCTCATATTCCCTAGGGTCAGGCAGTCAGAACTTTTTTGAAGCTACCAGCTGGGGAAGGAAGATTGTCCTGTCACTTCACTATATCTTAACCAGACAAGCTTCAAGTCAGTTCCTAGATATTCAAAAGTTAATCATATTTGTAAGACAAACATTAATTTGGAGATCTATTCTTCTAGGTTGATGTTTTTTTTCTATTGCTTTGTTTTAGCTGCCATTAAGGTTCAATGATGCCTTGGTACTTAGACAGCTTCGGTATACTGGGATGCTGGAGACAGTTCGAATTCGCCAATCAGGATACAGCTGCAAATACTCTTTCCAGGTTATACTTTTGCAGTGATCTTTAAGTATATATGCATATCAAGTAAATTCTTCCTGTCTTGTTTATTTTTTCTTTGGGGCTTATTTCTCTTAATTCTTCCTTCCCATTCCATCTTCTGTACACAGAATTAACCAGGTAGTGAGTACTCACTTCCATTGAATGGCACCAGTCTTATTAAGCTTGTGTTTTAAGAGAATCCAGTACTTGGCTATTCTCATTTGATCTGAATGTTTCCTAATACTAAATTTACTCATAACATAACAGTTCTTCACACTGATTGCTTCACACTAAATGTACTCATAGCATAGCAGTTCTTCATACTCTTATGAGTAAATACTAAATTTACTCACAGCATAGCAGTTCTTCACATGTATTACAAGTCTTCACACTAAAATAATTCAATCAGAACTGTCTAGTTCAAAAGAAAATATTCCATTTGATTTTTGCTAGAGTTTTCTCAGCAGGATTTTCTTTTATAGGAAGCTGCCAGCAAGACTCATGCTTATTCTCATCAGTTGCTGCTCTGGGTAGAAAAAGTATATTGAAGCTTTCCAGCAGCTGAGCAAGTTTTATTGTTACTTGGAGGGAAAGCTTCATTCTCAGTTATATCCTATAATAACTGTACTTTGCTTATTTTTCTAAATTTTGCTAAAAGTTTCTGATTATTGTTATATAACTTTTTCTTTGTTTTTTAATACAGCTTTCTCAAAAGGGATGATTAGTTTCTGCTCTTGGTTTCTTTCCAGCTTCCCTTTGATAACAAAATACTCTGTTGAACTCACTACACCTCCTTCCATTTTATAAGTTAACCTTTGGTAATACTTTGTTAACAAGTACTTCCTTGGTTTCACCATATTGAAAAGAATGAGAAATGGATCAATAAAAGGATAGTTAGCTAAAGTTTAGGATCTTGTAGCTTTATAACATTTTCATGTCATTCTTTTGTGGCCTTATAATATTTTCTTTTCATTTTTTCAGGATTTTGTGAGCCACTTCCATGTACTTCTTCCTCGAAATACTATTCCATCTAAATTTTACATTCAGGATTTCTTCAGGAAAATAAATATTAATCCAAATAATTATCAAGTTGGAAAATCCATGGTAAATATATATTGTCAAAATTGAGTGTATTTTTGTGTTTAAATAATAATGACAATCTTTGCCTATGATAATGTTTTGTAAAAAACATAATTTTCTAGCCCTAGCCAGTTTGGCTCAGTTGATAGAGCATCAGCCTGCAGATTGAAAGGTCCCTGGTTCAATTCCATTCAAGGGCACATACCCAGGTTGCAAACTTGATCCCCAGCCGTGGTGTGGTTGGCAGCCAATCGATGTGTCTCTCTCACATTGATGTTTCTCTCTGTGTGTCTCTCTCCCTCCCCTCCACTCTCTCTAAAAATATATAGAAAAATATCCCCAGGTGAGGAGTAACAAAAAAACAAGATAACAAAGAAAAACATAGTTTTCCAGATGTCATAAGGAAATTGAGTAGGCCACAATTTTTTTACTTAATAATATAGTCAATTTAAAGAGCTTCTGGCCAATTCTCTAGTTCTACCTATAATTTTAACTGCCTAAAAATCATCTCCCCTAGTGCTCTACTGTAATCTCCAACTCTACTTGCCCAAAGTCACCTCATCCTGATTTCCCTATTATCCTTAATTTGTCAACTACTCTTTTCTGTCATTCTTCTTCTAGTTTCTTAGGCTAGAAACCATAATCATATTTGGCTTACCCTTTACTTTAATCCTTTTACAAAATTGTTTCTTTTTTTTTTTTTTTAACAAATGATTCTCACATCTCTGCCTTTTTCTCTAATGCTACTGCGTCCATAGTAGGTCTGTTTCTTTACCTTTCACATATATTTCTCTTACAGTAAACAGATCCCTCGTCTTGTTCCAGTCTGTTTGTTATTCTGTTGAAATCTACCCATTTTATCAAAATCATCTTAATATATTTCTTTCTTTAATTTGACTTCCTGCTTAGTAATAATCCCCTGATAACCTTCTCACTAGATTCAAACATCTTTCTCCTTTTCAAGAACCTTCATATTGTGATTTTACACTATTTAATTCCTTCATTATAAAGATTAGGTATTTCATTGTCCCTGTATGTGCCTTTATCGTTATTTCCAACTCCTTGTTTTGTTCAGGTGGGCTCCTCTGTCTCTTGCCCTCATTAGTTTATTCTTTTCCATTTTGTTATCTAATATCTATGTGCTCTTTTTAAAGGCAACTTATTTTACGTTTTAATTCTCACCCAAGGAGAGAATTAAATGTTGTTATTGATTTTAGAGAGAAAGAAATATCAATGTGAGAGAGAAACATTGATCACTTGCCTCCTGGGTGCCCCGATCGGAGATTGAACCCACAACCTAGGTTTGTGTCCTGACTGGGAATTGAATCCTCCAACTGACTGACTGAGCCTCTGGCCAGGGCTGGTGCTCTTTTTAAAAATATTTTTTTATTTTTGACAAAAATGGGAGGTGATGCATATGTTAATTAGTTTGATTGTGGTAATCATTTCACAGTGTATACATACATCAAGACATATACCTTAAATGTATACAATTTTTAATATCTACCTGCTCTTTAAGGTGAATGCAAATCCTATTATCTAAGGGACCATGTCTAAGTTATCTTTGTATCCCCCTAGATTTTTTTTTAATGGAATGAAGGAGTAAATAAATAAACTGATAAATAGCTTTGGGCAGCAAGAAGCCTTTTATGCCTACTGGGTTTCTAAAAGACTTATTATTGGTTTATTCATCTTATGATCAAACTTGAAGATTTTTGGTTCACAACTTGTTTCCCCCTACTCCAACATCCTTGAAAAATATGACACCCTGGCTTGTGTGGCTCAGTTGTGTGGAGCATTATCCTGTACACAGAAAGGTGGTGGGTTTGATTCCTGGTCAGGGCACATACCCAGGTTGCAGGTTTGATCCCCAGTTAGGGCATGTGTGGGAGACAACCAATTGATGTTTCTCTCTCACATCAATGTTTCTCTCTCTCTCTTTCCCTTCCTCTCTCTTAAAAAAAAAAATTACTAGAAATATGACATACTACCAGCAGTACATTGGCTCATGATGGTGGTGAATTTCCCAAGGGAATAATCTATATACACTGAGTGGCCAGATTATTAAGACCACCTGACGCTTGTAGGCAAATTAGCTATAATTTCGCGCTGAAGTTGCTAGAGGGCCAGATCATTATAAACGTCCCAATAGCACAACATACCTAAGTATTGTTGCTGATTAAGTTCATCCTATCATGTTGATGGCATATCCCAATGGAATGGTTTCTTCCAACAAGACAATGCGCCATGCCATGGTGCTCATATTGTGCAGGAGTGGTTTCAAGAACATGAGGGAGACTTTACCTTGCTTAGGTGGCCCCCACAATCACCAGATCTCAATCCAGTTGAGCATTTGTGGGATGAAGTTAAAAGAGCCATCAGGCAGCTGGTTCCACAACCATCAAATCTCACAGAACTGGACAGTGCTATTCATCAGGCATGGTGTCAGATTCCTCGCATCACCTCTCAACATCTCGTGGAGTCAATGCCAAGAAGAATCGCTGCAGTATTGAAGGCAAAAGGTGGCCCAACAAAGTACTGATGTGGTGGTCATAATAATCTGGCCGGTCATAATAATCTGGCCACTCAGTGTATATGTAAAAGGCTAAGCAACCAGCCAGTAGATATGATGCACACTGACCACCAGTGGGCAGACGCTCAACACAGGAGCTGCTGAGCGACAGCGACTTTGCAGAGTGCCCTCTTGCACTCCGGGACCCCTTAGGGCAGTGGTTCTCAACCTTCCTAATGCCACGACCCTTTAATACAGTTCCTCATGTTGTAGTGACCCCCAATTTCATTGTTACAAATTGAACATAATTAAAGCATAGTGATTAATCATAAAAACAATATGTAATTATATATGTGTTTTCCGATGGTCTTAGGCGACCCTTGTGAAAGGGTCGTTCGACCCCCAAAGGGGTCGCGACCGACAGGTTGAGAACTGCTGCCTTAGGGGATGTCGGATTGCTGGTTTCAGCCCAATCCCTACAGGCCAGGCTGAGGGACCCCACCTGCTGGAGGGACCCTGCTCACTTGGCAGATGCCCTGCAAGCCCCGGCGCCACCCCAGGTGTGGCCGGCCAGGGAGGGACCATGGGAGGTTGGCTCCAGGGCATGTCTGGCCCCTTTCACCCAGTCCCGCCCCGCTGGCCACCTTCTAATTAATTTCCTTTCCATGTGCACGAATCTGTGCACCAGGCCTCTAGTGTATCATATATCTTGCACTGGAATTTTTGTACACATGTGCACCTTCCCATTTCCCCTTCTATATCCTAATGTTTATTTTCATTTTGAGAATGACCACTTTGGATAAATTGTAGAAATATTTATCAGTACTGCTTTTATTAATCTGCCACTGTATTTGTTCTTCTCTAAAAAGGCTAATTACAGAAGGGATGATTCATGAAATAAATTTCTCATTTCTTCTTAAACTGTATTTCTCATCTTTCTTCTTTTTGGTAGGTGTTCCTAAAGGAACAGGAACGACAGCACCTACAAGATCTGCTTCACCAAGAGGTGCTCCGCAGAATAATATTGTTACAACGATGGTTTAGGGTCTTGCTGTGCAGGCAGCATTTTCTCCATCTGAGACAGGCATCAGTTATCATTCAGGTGGGAGACAAAAGATTTCTTGCATGAGATTAGCTAGTTTATTTGGCCTTTGTTTTAGTAACCAGAATTATTTTACTATGAAACATATAAATAAGAATATAAACTTCTTCAGAGGTGAGAATGTGCTCTACACATTTTTGAAATGTTGATAGTACCGAAAAGATTACTTGCCATATAATAACAGACTATTAATAAATATCAATGGAGTTTAATTTAAATTAAATTAAATTTATAGTTATAATGACTTGTGAGGTATGATTGGGGCAAAGGAATTATGTGCCTTAATTTTTGTTACATAGTTATTCTATATAATAAGAGAGGGGTATGCTAATTAGTCACAACCAGTATGCAAATTGACCACCACTCCCAACAAACAAGATGGCTGCCCCCATGTGGCCACAAGATGGCCTGCAGAGGAGGGCAGTTGGGGGCGATCAGGCCAGCAGGGGAGGGCAGTTGGGGGTGACCAGGCCGGCAGGGGAGGGCAGCTGGGGGCGACCGGGCTGGCAGGGGAGTGGTTAGGGGTGATCAGGCTGGCAGGGGAGTGGTTAGGGGTGATCAGGCTGGCAGGCAGAAGTGGTTAGGGGCAATCAGGCAGGCATGAGAGCGGTTGGGAGCCAGCAGTCCTGGATTGTGAGAGGGATGTCCAACTGCCCGATCCCACTGGGATCGGGCCTAAATGGGCAGTCAGACATCCCTCGAGGTGTCCCAGATTGGAGAGGGTGCAGGCTGGGCTGAGGGACACACCCTCCTCGCCCCCCCTCCAGCCCCCCCCCAGTGCACAAATTTCGTGCACTGGGCCTCTAGTATTTAATAGTTTTCTGAGTGACATTTGCGTGTTATAAATACATTGTTGTTAGATACTCATCTTGGTTTATAGGTACCTTGTTTCACATTTACCTGTTTTACTTTCTCATCGATTTATACAATAGCTGTTTCCACAGGACCTTTTCTGTTTGTACAAGAATATCTTTTTATCTTAATTTTTGAAATGTGTACATATTGACCTTGAACCCAATTAATATAGGCAAGTTGTAGTATGAGAATAATTTATAACTTATTTAAATTAATTCGTAGGACATGAAAGCATCAAAATTTTAAATTAAGTTCTATAATTAACTTTATTGAGGTTTTATTATCTAAAATATTTGCTTTAACTAAGCATATCTAGAAAACTTTTTTAAATCACCCACAATTTAACTGTTTAGCCACTTACCCTCTAATTATGACATAAGAAATTTATTCTTTTTTCCTTTTTCTGTGAAAATGTGGTATAAGATATGACAACAGTTTCTATTATTTTGTCTTCCCCACAGCGATTCTGGCGGAATTACCTAAATCAAAAGCAAGTCAAAGACGCAGCTGTGCAAAAGGATGCTCTAGTTATGGCTAGTGCAGCTACTCTTCTCCAGGCTTCCTGGCATGCTCACTTAGAGAGGCAGCGGTATTTGGAGCTCCGGACTGCAACCATCATCATCCAGCAGAGATGGAGGGAGTGCTATAGGTGGAGGCACATGGCTGCTATTTGTATACAGGCAAGATGGAAAGGCTACAGGGAAAATAAGAAGTATCAAGAACAAAGGAACAAAATTATCCTTTTGCAGTCAATATGTAGAGGATTCAGAGCAAGACAAAGGTAATCTTCGTTGTTATAATAATTCTCTCTGTGCAAGTGCATTATTTATACTTTTGTTCTAACACTTGCCTAACTTGTGTTAGAATTGGTTTTGTGCAATTTGTCTTCTCCACTAAACTGTGATACTCCTAGCAATTTTAATCTACATTGTGTCGTCTATAATAGAAGCTAAATAAGTGTTTATTGAATTAAAGTGGACTGAAAACCTACATGGTCTGTGGTTATAACTGCTGAGTTAACTTTTACATTAGGTTGAATCTTTAAAAATTGGCATTATTCAACTGTTTTTACCTTTAGAAACTTTAATTTTATGTTTAAGGTTTATGTTAAAATAAGGATATTGTTAAAGGAGAGCTTACTTCTGGTTTTATTTATTTATTTTTTTAGTAAAATGCCTAATTACAAATAATGCACTTAATGATATATAATCTCACTCATCAAAATAGGATTATGAAATGTGCTTTGAAGTTAGTTTGAAACATACTTAGGTATATTAAAATTTTCTTCTTTTTTTTCTTAAATTCTCAGTAAATGTATTTTCTCCAGTAATAACCTACTTTTTTTTTTCTATTTTCATATAGATTTAAAGCTTTAAAAGAACAAAGGCTAAAAGAAACAAAACTAGAACTTGGATTGATGAATATTGAGCCACATGGAGCTCTGAAAATTCAGGGTTCAGACCCTTCAGAATGGGAGGATTGTTCTTTTGACAACAGAGTAAAAGCCATAGAGGAATGTAAATCTGTGATAGAGAGTAATCGAATTAGTTCAGTGGACTGCTTGAAGGATTCCCCAAACAAGCGACAGGAGAGAGCCAGAAGCCAGAGTGGTGTGGACTTGCAGGAAGATGTGATTATAAGAGAGAGACCCAAGTCCTTGGAGGATCTCCACCAGAAAAAAGTAGGTCGGGCCAAAAGAGAAAGTCGGAGAATGAGAGAACTAGAACAAGCTATATTTAGCTTAGAATTGCTAAAAGTTCGTTCTCTTGGTGGTGTGTCTCCTTCAGAAGAACGCCGATGGTCTACAGAACTGATGCCTGAGGGCCTTCAGTCTTTACAGGGTACACCTGATAGTGAAAGCTCTCAAGAAAGCTTGGAACTTCTGAGCTGCGAGGAAAGCCAAAAGAGCAAACTAGAGTCTGTAATGTTAGATGAAGGAGACTTGCAGTTTCTATCACCTAAGATATCTAGCAGTCAAAAATTTGATTCACAGGCCAATGCCCGAAGTACCTCAAGTGAGACTAACTATACATTGAGTCAAAAGGGAGCATCCTCTGACTCAATGCATTTGAAGAATGGGACTATGAAGGAAAAACTGGTTTGCAGTTCTGAATCTATTACCTGTAAGCCACAACTGAGAGACTCCTTTGTTTCCAGTAGTTTGCCTACATTTTTTTATATTCCTCAACAAGACCCACTGAAAACAAGTTCCCAACTAGACACAAGTATCCAGAGAAACAAACTAATGGAAAGTGAAGAAACAATTCCAGCTCTTACTTTGGATATTAACAGGAAAACTAGAAAGTATCGCTACTCAGGAGAAAATCAAGTTGTTGCTTTGAGTACAGATTCTTCTAATACTGTGCTTAAGAAGTTGGAAAAGCTGAACACTGAGAAGGAAGAAAGGCAAAAACAGTTGCAGCAGCAGAATGAAAAAGAGATGATGGAACAGATTAGACAGCAAACAGATATTTTAGAGAGGGAGCGTAAAACCTTCAAGACAATTGAAAAACAAAGAATTGGGGAGTCTTTTCCAGTATCATCTTTCTATCAATCAAAACCAAGAGTAGAGAGGCCATCCTCTCTCCTCATTCCGAATACCCCAAATAAGAAAGAATCTGATGTACTAGGGCATCCATCAGTAACTGTAAAAGATGCAGCTCTTGCCCTAAAAGACAGTCCCTCTGCTCACTTTCCCCTGAAGGATCGACCTGCCACCCTGTTCTTTGAAAGAAAAGGAGGCCCATGCCAATCTAGTACTGTCAATGAATTATCCAAGACAGACAGAATGTGCAACCAACCGAATGTAGCCTGTAAATTCAATAATAATGGCATTTCAAAAAGAGAACACTTTAAGCCAACTCAGTCTAAGAGCCACAAATCTAATGACCCTCCCAGAGATGGAACTACTATGGCCATTTTCTTCACACCAAAGGAAAATATGAGTATTTCCCTGTAAGTGAAATGTTTATTTATTTTCATGTATAAATGGGAAACTTTTGGAGAATTTTGCAGACATACCTCAGAGATACTGAGGGTTCAATTCCAGACCACTGAGCAAAGCGAGTATCACAGTAAAGTGAGTCATAATCTTTTTGCTGATTAATCATTAATCATCCTTGTGAATTACTTTTTTGTGAATTATTTTTTAAAATCAATTTTTCAAGATAAACTATCTTTAGTCTACTTGATCTAGTTTGCTTTACCTAAGTAAGAACTGCTTATCTTCAAAATGATTATTTATTAGATTGTTTATGTAAAAGCTTAAGTAAAATGTATATTTCAAGTCTCTCATTCTATAAGTAATACTAGAAACCTTAGCATTTTATAGAATTATAAATGTTGATCTAGTCCAGTTCTCACATATAGATGAGCTCACTGGTGCCTCCAGAAGTGAAATGACTTAAGGTCACATTAAATAGCTGGGACTAAAACCTGAGTTTCATGATTAGGAATCAGCATTGGGTTTCATAGTGGTGATAAGTACATGATGGTCTTCATCTGTTTCATGAGAAAGAACAAAAAGAAATGGAATCTAAAGGAAATGCCATGAGTTTAAAAGTTAGGGTGGTCAAATGCTATCAAATGTTCTAGTGCCCGGCCGGTATTGCTCAGTGGTTGAGCATAAGCCTATGAACCAGGAGGTTACAGTTCTATTCCGGTCAGGGTACATGCCAGGGTTGCGGGCTCAGTCTGCGGTGGGGGGTGTTGTAGGAGGCAGCCGATCGATGATTCTCTCTCATTATTGATATTTCTATCTCTCTCTCCCTCTCTGAAATTTAAACAAAAAAGCTTCTAGTAATTATTGCTCTCTTTGGAGAACTAATCAAAGACCAATAGGCACAACTGTGGTAAAAGAAATTATAATGACCAAAAGGGAATCTTTTAGGAGAAATTAGGATTGCTAGGCTTGATCATACATAGTCAAAAAGGGAGATATCTGAAATGCCATTACCTAGGAAAGATTGCCATCTATATGGGATTGTTTAGGGATTATTACATAGGACAAAGGACAAGATATTAATTTTGTATTCTGCTACTGTGATGAGTTCATTTATTAGATCTAGTAGTTTTTTGGTGGAGTCTTTAGTTTTTCTATGTACAATATTATGTCATCTGTGAATAATGACAGTTTTCCTTCCTCCTTTCCAATTTGGATGCCTTTTCTTTCTTCTTCTTGTCTGATTGCTGTGGCTAGGACTTCCAGCACTATGTTGAATAAGAGTGGTGAGAGTGGATATATCTGTCTTATTCCTGATCTTAATGGAAATGCTTTTATTTATTTTTTTGCCCGTTGAGTATGATAATGGCTGTAGGTTTTTCATATATGGCCTTTGTTATGTTGAGGTATAATCCCTCTAGTCCCACCTTACTAAGAGTTTTTATCATAAATGGGTGCTGGATTTTATCCAGGGCTTTTTATGCATCTACTGATTTGATCATATTTTTATCTTTTATTTATATGATGTATCACATTTATTGATTTTCGGATATTGTAGCAGCATCCCCAGTATAAATCCCACTTGGTCATGGTGTATGATCTTTTTATTTATTCATTTTCTTTTATGTTTTTAATGGATCTTTTCGTAAGAGTGAAAGAGAGATGGGGAGAGAGAGAAACATCAGTATGAGAGAAAAAATTAATTGGCTGCCTCCTGCATACCCCCTACTGTGGATGGACCCCAAAACCAGAGCATGTGCCCCAACCAGGAATCGAACCTGAGACCCTTTGGTGCATGGGTCAGTGCTCAACTAACTGAACCACACTGGCCAGGACATGTGTATGATCTTTTTAATTTTTCGCTTGATCCTCTTTGCTAATATTTTGTTGAGGATTTTAGCATCTATGGTCATCTAGGGTATTGGCCTATAATTATTATCTTTGTTTGTAGGGTTTTTATCTGGTTTTGGAATTAGGATAATGCTGGCTTCATAAAAAGAGTTTGAAAGTCTCCCTCCTTGAATTTTTTGCAATAGTTTGAGAAGCATAGGTGTTAGTTCTTCTTTGAATGTTTTGTAAAATTTGCCTGTGAAGCCATCAGATCCAGGACTTTTGTTTGCTGGGAGTTTTTTTATTACTGCTTCAATTTCATTAGGTATTACTGGTCTCTTCAGGTTACTGATTCTTCCTGATTGAGTTTTAGAAGATTGTATGTTTCTAGGAATTTGTTTATTTTGCCCAGGTTGTCCAATTTGTTGGCATATAATTGTTCATAGCATTTTCTTACAATCTTTTGTATTTCTGTGGTCAGTTGTTACTTTGATTATTTCATTTCTGATTTTATTTATATGGGTCCTCTCTCTGTTTCTTGGTCAGTCTATCTGGCTAAAGGTTCATCAATCTTGTTTATCCTTCCTTCCTTCCTTCCTTCCTTCCTTCCTTCCTTCCTTCCTTCCTTCCTTCCTTCCTTCTTCCTTCCTTCCTTCAACATATTTTATTGATTTTTTTACAGAGAGGAAGGAAGAGGGATAGAGAGTTAAAACATCGATGAGAGAGAAACATCCATCAGCTGCCTCCTGCACACCCCTTACTGGGGATGTGCCCGCAACCAAGGTACATGCCCTTGACCGGAATTGAACACTCTATCCACTGAGCCAAACTGATTAGGGCTTGTTTATCTTTTCAAAGAACCAACTCTTGGTTTCATTGATCTTTTGTATTGTTTTTTTAGACACTGTGGTTTATTTACTCTCTGATCTTTATTATTTCCTTCCTTTTACTTTATCTGGGCTTTTCATATTGTTCTAGTTCTAGTTCTTTTAGGTGTAAGGTTAGATTGTATATTTGAGATTTTTCTTGCTTTTTGAGGTAGGCCTGTTATGCAGTGAACTTCCCTCTCAGGACTGCTTTCTGTGCGTCCCGTAGATTTTGGGTTATTGTGTGTTCATTTTCATTTATTTCCAAGTAATTTTTTATTTCTTCCTTGATCTCCTTGGTAACCCATTGATTGTGTAAAAGCATGCTGCTTAGCCTCCATGTGCTGGAATGATTTTGAGTGTTTTCATTTTAGTTGATTTCTAGTTTCATGCCATTGTGATCCTGGAAGATGCTTAATATGATTTCAATTTTCTTGAATTTGTTAAGATTTCTCTTATGTCCTAACATGTGGACTTTTTTTGAGAATGTTCTATGAGCACTTAAAGAATGTATACTCTCCTGCTTTGGGATGAAATGTTCTCTAAATATCAGTTAAATCCATCTGATCCAGTGTCATTTAAGGTCGCAATTTCCTTGTTGATTATTTGTCTAGAAGATCTATCCACTGATGACAGTGGGGTTTTAAAGTCCCTTACTGTGACTGTATTACTGCCAATTTCTCCCTTAAAGTCCACCAAAAGTTTTATATATGCGCTCCTATATTGAGTGTATATATGTTTACAAGGGTTATGTCCTCTTGTTGCATCAATTTCTTTAGTATTGTGTAGTGGCCTTCTTTGTCTCTGTTATGGCCTTTATTTTGTAGTCTATTTTATCAGATATAAGTATTTCTACTCCAATTTTTTTTTCATTTCCACTGCATGGAATATTTTTTTCCCATCCCTTCACTTCCTGTCTGTATGTTTTGTTCTGAGGTGGGTGTCTTGTGGACAGCATATATAGGTCATGTTTTCTTATCCATTCTACTACCCTATGTCTTTTGATTGAAGTATGTAGTCTGTTTACATTTTAGGTTCTTATTGATAGGTACTTATTCATTGCCATTTTTTTCCTTTATATCCTTGTACCTCTCTTTATATTTCGTCTTCTTTTTAAAGCAGTCTGTTAACGTAAAAAAAAAAATTCAAACCTGTAAAGAATTTTTGTGAGTTTATTTGAGCCAACCTGTCGACAGTTGCCAGGAAGCAGAACCTCAACGAATTGAGATAATGCTTTGGAGAATGGCAGGTTACATCTATATTTATATATTGCAATCAAAGGAGGGACAAAGGTGGGTTACATGAGATCCATTAGTGATAGACTAGAAAGGCAGGAGAAAGCAAAGCGTGGAAACCCTGGGATTGGATAAAAAGTAAAATGGTAGACACATACTTAGGTGGGTGTAGGAACAATTAACATGATAACAATGAAGGAATTTATGGTATCTGTCTTGGTGCCCAGGCACATTAGATTGTGACGCAAGGGGTCCAGAAAAAGGGAAGTTACAAGTTACCTAGACATTTCAAGGGTATGTTATTATAGATGCAAAAGGTTATATGGATATTAAAGGTTGACCTTGTCAGTGAAGATACTGGCCTAGCATGTAACTACCCACCATAACTGCTTTTAGTTAAAGTTTAATTTCAGACCATCCTTTGTGGTTACTTTAGGTCTCTGAGTTTGCAAGACCACCATGCAGGCCTCCCCTGAGTTTGTCAGGTTAGCATGTGGCCCCTTTTGTCCACACATCCCCCTTTTCATCATAAATCAGTCCAAAGGATACATTGATGACCAATCTTTTGGTTGGATAATGGAGTCCCACGGTGCTAGGAAGGCTTATTCCTAGGATGTCTCAGTGTCAGCATGTCTTGCTGAATAGGGGGGAACACTGTGGATGGGGCAAGACCATAACCTTAGATGGCATTTAAGGTCGAATTGTTATTATTCAAAAAGGGCAGGTAAATGGGAGGCAGTCAGATCCTATATGTCCTTGTTAAAAAGTATTCTGGATCATTTCTAATTTTTGAGTCACTATGATCCAAGTCTTTTTTTGCTGTTTGTCAAGTTTTGTTTTTCTGCATCTAGTATAACATTTACATACCAGGAATAAAAGTAACAACAATAAACCGGTAACACGGTTAGAAACAGAAAATGTCTAATATTAGACAAGGAAGGATCTGAGGGGAAATAAGTATCTGCTATTATCCAGAAGTTCCAATTTTTCTTCTGGGCAGTTAATTTCACCCATTCCTATATTTAGACAGTATTCATCTAAAATACTAATCTAGATTAGATCTATATATAATTCTACCAGGGG